ATTTTTTCTTTTTTTCCAAAATAAATTTCCATGACTGAAAAGAAAATAATAATACTTGTTAATAATAAAAAAAAAGTAATACGAATAATATTTTTTTAATTCGAGAATATTAATGCGAAAAGAAAGGAATTGTTTGACTTTGTCGAAATGTTAAAATGGCTGACAACAGTTGTCTGATTATAATAAGAAATAAATGCGGCCAAGTGTAAAATAACATAATAAAAATTCTCAAGAGGAGTCTGTCTCATTAAATTTTCATTTTATATATATTCAATTTTTTTTTTATGTTATTAACGAAGACGAGAACAAAACAAAAGGAAAAAAGGAAAAAAAAATTGCATTTCAAATTTTTTTTTTCATTTTCCTTTTTTAAATAAAAATCTGTTTGGAATATTTAAAAATTTATAATAAACTTTTTTTTTACCTTATTTTAAAATATTATTAACAATAACAAACAACAAAAGACGTCGTCTGTAACGAAGTACAAAACATCATTTTGTAAACGAACAACATAATTCGATGATCGACGCCATTTTTGTTGTTTTGATTGAAAAAAAAAAATAAATTTGCGGGAAAATTTTAACGACCGTTGCCAACTTAAAAATGGCGGACGATAAAATAATATTTTTAATCGATTTTAAAATTTTAACGTCGTGAAAATAATCTTTTTTTAACATCTTAATGTTATTTATTTTGATTGATTGATTGATTGATTGATCGATCGGATTATTTATTTATAATAATTATTTAACAAATTTATTATTACTTTTCGAACGAATATTATTATTATTATTATCAATTAGCAAAACGTCAAAATTATAACAAATTTTTTTTTTTTTTTTTGGTATCTTGGGATATTTTTTAAATATCTCGAATGATTTATCAATTAAAATATCGAGATATCGAATCGATATTTATCGATACGAACGATGATGGATTCAAAAACAAAAAAAAAAAACAAATTTGTTTTTTTGTTATGAAGAATTATTCCTCATTTCCTTGTCAAATTTTTTTTTGTTTTGTTTTTTTTGTCGTCTGCTATCAGACTTTAATAATAATAATGATGATGATGATGATAGAGGTATGCTTACAGAAAATAAAATATAAAAAAAAAAAATTTAAATCGCGTTGGAACATGAAAATTGTTATAAAAGGTAACACCAACCACCAATCATACAAACAAACAAACAAACGGGGTGGGGGTAAGGGGCAGTAATTCGGGTAAGGTATGAGTCATAATTGTACCTTGCTACCTGAATCAACTTAGTATAAATAGGTGGATTAATTTTTTTATAAATCAGATTAATCCCATCAAGGGTTAAAAAGTGTTACCTTGGATTAATTTTAATAATCTCCGATGGATTTGGATTATCGATATAGCTATCCCGGATATACTACAGTGCTATATTGTTATTGAGTCATATATAGTACGTATGATGTCCGGAGAAAGCCATGTCAAATTTTCTACAATATTTTTGATTATGGTTAACAACGGATTTGTTTATGGTTAAATATTCCCGAATCTTAATTGTTCTACGTGTTATTATTATCGTAGTACGGTTATGATTCGGGAATGTAGAGCCTAACAACAACAGGAAGGGAATTGATTGCAAAATGCTTAACTATGGTCCTTAATCTTTAACGTAGTACATTTTTTTTTAATTATTTGTAGTACGTTATAGTATTGAGGGTCGGAGTTTTGTCACGTCTTCCATGTTTGTTTTTTTTTTTATACACGACAACGTCATCTGTGATGTTTATTTTAAACTACGTTACCAACCACCTTAATATTTATAATTTGCAGTTGTATTCACACATGCCATCTATATTTATTATGTAACAACTACAATGTACAAATTAGTTTTTTATATTTTTTAATAGATGTCGGGCGTGTTTTTGTTTTTGTTTTGATTTCAGAAAGTCATTTAAATACTTCATCGCAAAACAATTTGTTACCCTAAATCGTCATCGAAATTGAACAATCCGTGAAAATAATAATAATTATTACACAACAACAGCAACCAAATTCGTAGTTTGTACACAACACCATGTTAAAAAAAATAGTAAAAGCGTTGAATAATAAAATATTAATACGCCCTGAATGATGTTTAAGGGTAAAAAATCGGATTCATTTTATATTTCCATTTTATATTTGAGTTTTTTTTTTTTTTTTTTGATATTGCCTTTTAAATATTTAAACAATTTTTTTATGCCCCACGAGACTCCAGAATTTTCTGGCCATATACACACACGCACACATTGTTAAAATTCCCAATTCCGTTTTGAAATTGTTTCGATTCTAAAAATTATTGTTATCATCTGTTATCATCACATATATATAATAAACCGAAAAATAAATTATTGATAAAACTGTTTTATCATTACGTAATTTTCTTTTATGGAGAAAAAAAATTGATTGTTTTCCCTAAAACAAATTCCGTAAAAAAATTCCGGTATTATGAACGAATGGACTTTTCTGATTATTATCATTATTATTATCACCATTTTTTAATTGTTATCCTGTATGTGTGTGTGTGTTTGTGTCAATATAAATTTTCATTTAAAAGTTTTTTTTTTTTTTTTTGTAATTTAACAAAAGAAAATCCCCGAGAGAATTTTTGTGTGTTTGGTTTTTTTTTTTGTCTCCTTCCACGATTGGAAAAATGGCAATTCGTTAGAATTGCATTTATAGTTGTGACGTCTATCTCACTCTCACTAAAGTTTTTTTTTTTTATCTTACTCTATTTTTTTTTTTTTTTTAAATACAAAAAGCTTCTTTTGATTTCGTTTAATGGCATAAACGCTTTCTGAAATTGAAATCGTTTTAAACTGTTCAAGTGTGAAATAGCAATTAACTTTTATCTCGGGAAAATCTCTCTAGAATTTTCCGTACAAAATTTTCTTTTTACTCTCTCTCTCTCTCTCTATACTACTACCACTTTTCTCTTTCGTTTTTTTTTTTTTTTTGATGATATTCAAAATTTTTCTTTTCCTCTTTCTTCTTTCTCACTTGTCACGGCAATTATGGCGGTCGGGATAAGGGAAAAAATTTGTTCTTCCCAAAGGATGATGATTTTTCTTTCTATCCTTTCCTTGTTAACCAAAATATAACGATATCTCTCATATTTTCAAAATTGATCGTCACATTATTAAATGAGCTGACTGTTAACCGACCGATGAAAGATATAAATGGATGAGGAGTTGAATGATGGTCCATTGCCCATGAGACGCGACGTTCTCTCTCTCTCTCTCTTTTTCTCTTTGGTCTTCTCAATATTTAATGGTTGCCATGGATTATCCCAGGGATTTTTCAAAAAATGAAAGAGAGAGAGAGAGTGAGAGAGAATAAAGAAGGCGTATGAGATGATAGTATATACGAGTTTTCGCGGTTTTTTTTTATATTTCCCGCCCCTCGATCCCTTTTTTTTTTTACATCATTGCTGACACTCTTGTTTTACATCCCTCGGGACGCATTTATTTTACTCATTTCCTAACCTCGACGTGTTTTTCTCCGTGTTTTTTGTTATTTGTGCGAATTTAATATGCAATTATCAACCGTGTTAAAAGGAAGATAATTACTTTTTCTCATTTTCATCCTTCCCCCTCCTCCCTTTTTTCTCTCTCTCTCTCTCTCTCTTTCTCTTCTCAATATGATTCGTTTTGGGATCTCAAATTGTTCATCAACTTTTTTTTTTTCATCCAGATGTTGTCTAAAATGAATTTCTACTCAATTTATTTTTTTTATAAATTTTTACACCCAAACAAACAAACGCAAACTCACTACAACCCCCACCAATTTCTACCCCCCCCCCCCCAAAATGATCGTTAATAAATTTAATAAACTTTTTTTTCGGGGGGGAAGGGGAGCCTTAGTTTTAAACATATATTTCCGGTTTACCACAATCTTACTTATATACAATTAATTAAAACTAATTTTTTTAGTAAAAGAAAAAAAAATTGTAAACAATTCATTTAATTTTCCTTTTTTTTTTTTTCGAATATATTAGAAAATTGCAATTTGTTTGTTGTTGTTGTTTGTTTTTAATATCGAAAAGGTTTTAAAACAATTTAATTTTTTAAACTCTTGTTCTCTTTTTTCACTTTTTAAAAATCCCGCTCAAAACTCCTCCCATCTATTTCCTTCAACGTATTATATATTACGATGCAAAACATTATATCTCTATTATTATCATTATTATTATTTTCTCTCTTTCAATTTTTTCCCCGTTATTTATCATCATTATTATTATCAAACTGTGTTTTCGATAAGGCATTTTATAGCGTTAAAAAAAAATTAATAATTATTATGCGTGAATGATTTGAAAAAAAGGGAAAGAAAGAAACCCTTTTTTCGCGTAAAAAAAAAATTTTCACGTTTATCAAATCCGAAATAATAATAATAATAATAATAATAATCGTGTAGTTTTTTGCATTAGGTAAAATATAGCAGAAGAAAAAAAAATATAGAGAAGAAAAGAGATGGAAAGAAAGTGAGAGAAAATTTTCCCCCGTAGTGAATTTTTTTTTTTTCGAGTTACACGGTTTTGATATTAAACAGTAAAAATTGAGTCATTCCGATTTTGCTATTAAGGGTGGATTCCCTGGCTGTAATTGAGAAAGAGCTTTTTGTGATTTTCTTTCTCTCGTTTCAACGCAATGTAAAACATATAACTTTCTCTTTGTCTCACTCTCGAGAGTCCTTTTACCATTGTCAGTGGTGTTGTCAAATCTTTACCTTTAAATTAACTCTCGCGGAAGAATAAAAAAAAAAAAGAAGCAGAAGAAAAATTAATTTTATGGTGATTGTTCATCCCCATCGGTCGTCGGTTATATCGCGAAGTTTCTTATCAATTATCAATTTTTTTTTTTTAAATCGAAATGTCGTCGTAAGTTTTTTTAGTGTTTGTCGTTCGGTATAAACGCGTGTGTGTGAGAGAGAGAGAGAGAGAAAAAAAACATTTAAGAATAATAATTGTGATAATGTCATAATGACGATAAAAATGTTGCAACCTCTATTACGTCATCAAAAAAACGATACAACGGAAATAAGTGGAAAATTTTTGGGAAATGATGATGAAATAGAAGAAGAATCCGAAATGTCGAAAGGTATGATAATAACGAAGGAAAATGGCGAAGACGAAGACGACGACGGTGATGATGATGATGGTGGAAAGGAAAATGATAATGGTGACGTCGTTGATAATATGGAAAATTATAATAAAAAAGAAATTTCCTCATCCGTCGGAAGGAATAAAAATTTAAGGTACGATAATGATAATAATAAAAAAACAATTGATGATAATGATGATGATGGTGGTGGTGGTGGTGATGATGTTAAAAGTGACGTTTCCGATGGTTCCGAATTGGTTAACGTGGATGAAGAATCGAATGATTATAACGAGGATTACGGTAAAAATTCAAACGTGTCACCAGTCGATTTGACAAATAGAAATTTAGATATGGATCGTAATAGTTATAAGTTAAACAGTCTACTGATAAGAAACCATCGAACATTATTTAATAATTTTCCAGGAGATTATCGTGAAAATTTTTTCACGAGTGATAATAAGTTAATGATTAATCATCCTACACAATATCATTATTATTATTACGATAAAGAATTAACAAATAACGTGTCAGTAGTAGAAAAAAAAAAATTTAAAGAACGTTTTTTTAAAATGGCTGATGATGATGATAATGATAATTATAGTAAACAATTTATTAATAATAATAATAATGATAATAAAAATGATAAAATTTTATTTAACGGTGGTAAAGTTAAAGATATGGAAGAAAGTTCGGAAAGTGTAAGCAGTAACGTATCATCATCGAATCAAGATTTTCCTAATTCTGCTGCTACGGCTGCTGCTGCTGCCGCGGCCGCCGCTGCCGCTGCCGCCGTCGCCGCCGCGAATTCTAATTTACCAACAAATTTTTACCGACGGGATGATAAATTTAAATTTAAAACAACAACAACAGCAGCAGCAGCAACGACAGCAAATCCGGATAAATCGTTAAAAAATTTTCACGTAGGATTTCATAATTATAATGATAATTACTCACCAGAGAGTAAATCAAATAATAATTCTTCATCCGTCGTGGAACCAGGACAACCCTCGGTCGTACCACAGAGAAGAAATTTAGCCTTTTCCGTTGAAAACATTCTCGATCCTAATAAATTCACCGGAAATTCATTAAATAAATTCAATAACGATACGATTAATAATCCTAGTAGTAATAATAATAATAATAATCATGTTAATAATAATAATAATAATAATAATTTAATCATACCGGATCAAAGATTTCAATCGTCCATCGGTAAAATTTTACAACCTCCTCCCGGATGCTGTTGGAGACCACAAATTCAAGATGGTGGAGAAAGCGAGGATCGTGACGATAACTCAGGTAAATCATTATTATTATCATTAATAATGTTTCTTCTCTCTTCCTTTTCCGGTTCGATAACAAATTTCAATTTAAATCCGATTGTAACTGAAAAAAAAAAACAAACAACGAAAACGTTAATGATAATTTTCAGGTAAAATTCGGGTAGGAAAATTTTTTAATTATTTTATTAATTAATTAATAATAATAATAATAATGATGATGATGATGATGATGATGATGATGATAAATAATTAAAAATAAAAGAAAAATAAATAAAGCATTATAATTAATAAATAAATTAATTGAAATAAAACGTGAAATAATTAACGGATGTTTTTACTACTCTTTCTCGTGCCACGTTTCACCCGCCCCCCCTCCCCATTCGATTCTCTCCCTCCTCCCTTACCAAACGATTCGTTTCGATTTGATTTGATTTGATTTTTTTTTTTTTGTGTAAAAAGAGGGAAATCAAAATCCCCCCCATCATCATCATTTTAATTCGAATTTATTTGTTTTATCGTTCAAATTAAAAAGTAAAGTCGGAGGAGAAACAATAACAACAGGAACAACGGTAGGGAATAAATGAGAGAATGAATGATTGATTGATTGAATATTTAAAAAAAAAAATTATTATTATTTTTTTTTGTGCGTTGAAATTTCGAAGAATTTTTTTTTTTTTTTCGCGGGATGTTTTAATTTTCGTGACTTAAAACCGGAAAGAATAAAAAAAAAAAAAAAAAATTTTTTTTTCAGTCTGCTTTAAATCCTCATCCCCCCCAATCTCCCCTCAATTCCTCTCCAACCCTTAAAAAAAAAAAAGAAATTTTCTTTTTCGTTTTGCTAAAATCCAACCGACAGTTGGTGTGGCTTAAATATATTCTCCTTTTCAGCGATTTTTTTTTTTTTTTAGTCTCCTTCCACGTTTATATTTTTAACCCTTAGATTTAATCCTATTATTTAAAAATTATGCGAACCAATTTTCCGGTCAACTACCAGTTTTCATTCGTGTTTATCCCTTTAGAAAATTAGATAATTAAGTTTTCTGCGCGGCGTCGGAAAACTTAAAAAATTCAAAATGGCCAAAATAAAAGAAAAAAATTTATTAAAATTTTATAAGATTAAATATATGCATCGATTTTCCTCTTACTGAACGTTTCGAAAAAAAACACCGTGGAAATAGACAAAATTTTCAGAATGAAAAAACAATGGTAAAAATGATTCCTCAACACACAACTCTTTCCCATAACCCATAACATCATCATCCTTTTCTAATCGTCGTGTCATTAGTGTTTCTCATACCACATTAACAAAAAAAAAAAAAATCGTTTGGTTAAATTCGACAGTTGGCAACAAAAATTAAAAGCTATAAATTAAAAATTTTCCGAGAGTATTTAAAGAAAAGAAAAAAAAATTGATTTATTAAATGTCGAATTAAAAATGTCTTCGCACACACACACAGACACACAGCCTTCTCTAATGGATCTTTTTTTTTTTTTTATGTTCATGATTCCATAGAGTAATAAATTAGGTTAGAAAAACACGCGGCAATGAAATAAGGAAGGCATTTAATAGCGCGAAACTCAATGAGCCTGAAAATTGTCTCAGATTTTTATAATAGGAAATCCATTGTTTTTTAATGAAATAAAATGTTTGCATGGTTCAGCGTTTTATACATATATATATATATTTTCGGGGGTGAATTTTTTTTTCTCTCTCTCTCTCTCTCTTCCTCTCGCTTTTCACGGTTCGCTTGAACGAGATAAAAGACTAAAAATAACCCTTAGGGGTATAAGGGAGATAAGGGGTTGGAAAATAAAAAAAAAATAAACTGGAAAATTAAGAAGAAGAAAAAGAAAAAAAGAAAAATAAATAAATAAACGCGAAAACCGAACGATTTTTTTTCTTTTTCTTTCCACTCCCCCCTCCCCTTTGTTAAATCCACGTCAAAATTTTATTTCTTATTATTCTACTGCCACGTATAATTTTTAAATAATTTCTTATAGAAAATTTCTTTTTTTTTTTTTTAATTGATTTGAATTTTTCGATGTAAGGTAAATGAAAAAAAAAATTATATGTTAACTAATGTATAAATCAGTGGCGTAACCTATTCTTTTTTTAATTTAATGAAATGTATATCAAATTCAACGTGCTCCCCACTCTTTCCCTCTCAGTATTTGTATCTATTTTTATTATGCAGAATAACTTCCGGTCGGGTAATGTTGGGAAGGGGAGGAATCGAAATTATTTTTTTAAATTCAGGTGTAATAAGAAAATTATTTAAATCGATTTAATTAAATCCTTAAATCGGTCCTAACCTTTATGTTCATCCCTAATAAACCTTTTTGGCCGCAGGATTTACTTACTTACTTACTAAAAAAAAATTCTTTTAGTAAAAAAAAAACGAAAAATTTTCTAACAGCTTCCGGGGATGTTGACAAGTTAATTGCTCTTTCCACCATCTGACACTGAGAAATAAGATTTTCGGGACTTAACAGTGGCGAAACCATCAATTAACAAAAACTTTCTTTATTATTTATGCCCTATTCACTCTCTCTCTCTCTTTAACTCATTCACTCACTCGCTAACTCTCTCTCTATCTATCTCTCACTCGCTCACTCGCTCCTTCGCGACAACGTTGATTTTTTTAACTTTTTGTTATATCCTTGCTCTTTTTTTCCTTATTTTTTTTTTCGGAGGGAGAGAGGGTGGTGGTAGTAGTAAGGGGGGGTGGAGCAGGAGCGTAAAAAGAAAAAAAACCATTAAATAATTACTATCTATTAATGTAGATGAGTAAATTTATTATTATTTCCTTTTTTCTTTCTATTGATTAGTCAAAGAATTTTTTTTTTGTGTGTGCGGTGGTTTTAAGTTTGGCTTGTTGAAATCAAATTGCCCAAAAGCATATCTTAAAGTTTTTCTTATAAAATTTTATTTTCGTGGGGGGCCGGGGGGAGAGAGAGAGAAAAAGAAGAAATAATTTGGGAAACCAAAGAGACAAAGAGAGAAAGAGAAAGCAAAAAATTAACGTGGGAATCATTTTTTTTTAAACAAAAGAAACCTTTTAAATTAAATTTAATAAACGTCGGTTAAAAAAAAAACGTGGAAAAAGAAACAAACGTGGCATTAGAGAATTTATGTTTAATTCTACGATATTAAAAAAAATAATAAATTTTTTCTGTTTCGAATGAAAATAAAAACTCGAGCCAAAATTTATAAATTTATAAAAAAATATTGATTTAAATAAATAATAATGATGATGACCATGATGATGATGATGACGATGATAATAATGATAATAATAACGCGATGAAAAATGACAATTAAAAAAAAAAAAAGAAAAAATTATTTTTATAAACCCACACGAATCGAAATGAGCGCGAAAAAAAAAATGCTTTGCAAAAGAGAGAGGGAGAGAGAGAGAGAGAAATGGGAGGTGTAAGAAAGAAAAAAAAAAGTAACCGGAAGTAATCGGTAAAAAATGAAAAACGTAATAATTAATTAATTAATTAATTTTGATAATTAAAAAGAAAAAAAAGGGGGGGGGAACACATAACAACAACAACAACAATGGTCCAGCGGTGATGCAAGAAAAAAAAAAAAAGAAAAACAAGATGAAAATGTTTATAAAGTGGATGCTGGGCGTGTCCCCGGGTTTGTTACCAAGCAACCATCTATCAGCGAGCCACCTTGTTGACTTAGACTTCATTCAAAGCTTATTCAGGGGTTAAGCTTTTAAATTTCCCTTAACAATTTCTTTATATATATATATATATTTTCTCAAGAAAAAAAAAAAAAAATTACCTCCCCCGAGATATAAACCTCATTTTCTTTTTATTTCAAAAAATACAATCGAAAGGTATGAGAAAGCGCGGAGAAGTGTGCGTGCGTGCGTGCGTGCGTGCGTGCGTGTCTGTAAGATGGGGGGGTAGGATTGGAGAAGTGGTGTAGGGTAGGGTAGGAAAATAAGAAAAAGTGGTACGCGGTAAAAAAGTAGAAAAGACGAAAAGCTTTTCTTTTATTATCATTATTATTATTCCTGCGCCCTTTAAAAAAACCAACCCCGTCACCGTCTCTCTCAACCACCACCCATTTCTTCCATTTGTTTTCTTTCATCGCCCCACGAGATTCTCTCTCTCTCTCACTCTTTTAACCTTTTTTTACTTTTTTATATTTAATAGAAAGTTTTCTTATGCAAATATTTTTTTCCTCAACACAAAAAAAAAAGTCTGAGAGAGAGAGAGAGAGAGAGAGAGAGAGAGAGGAAAAATCGATTTAAAAAAAAAAAAAACGTTTAAATTGTTTTTTGTGGTTTTGTCGTTTCCTTTTAATCGATTTTTCTAGAACTTTTTTTTTTTTTTGTATATTTAAGAAAAAGAAAAAAAAACATAAACACGAAAATCGTTTTTAAAATTTTTATTTTTATTTATATAAAATAAATCTTTTAATTATTATTATTATTAATTTGAAAAGGGAAGCGTTGTAAGAAAAGCAAACGAAAATATTTTTAAAAAAAAAATGAGGAGAAGAGATAGAGAGAGAGGGAAAAAAGAAAAAAAAAAGGTAGAAAAAGAACAAAATTTTCCAAAATGGCGGCGGACGGTATTAAACAAACGAAAAGTAAATCGCGATATCAATTTATAAAATGAATTATAAATATTGTTTGTTTTTTAATAAAAACATGAGAGAGAAAAGTCCGTTCGTTCGTCCGTTCGGTCGGTTCCGTTCGCTTTTCCTGTCAAAACAAATTTTTCATTTCTCTTCTCTTGGATTCCTGTATTTACATTGATATTTTCAAGCCACTTTTTCAAACAATCTCTCTCCCTTCCCCTCCCCACCCATCCCCCCTCTCTCCTTTTTATTCCTTTTCACTTGATGAAACGACCCTCTCCCCTTCTTCTCCCCGGAAATAAAAAAATTATTTTAATGATTTTCAACTGAATTCGAAAAGGTTTTTAAGTGGTTTTAATTTAAAAAAAAAAAAAAGAAAGAAAAATTATCAATAAATTCACGCACGCACGCACGCGCACTCACTCACTCAACACATTTTACCAAAATTAATTTTTTCAATAAAAAAAAACCATGACCTTTGACCCACGAAGTAAATTTTTTTCCTTTTTTCCGTAAGAAAAACGATTTGTATTTGTGTCGCGATATATTTTTTTTTTCTTTATCCCACACACGTGTTAACAATAACAATAAATTTTTTTATATAAACTATGACGTCATAATCGACGTCATCAAAATTTTGTCACAAGCGTGACGTTTAAATTTCATTTTAAAAAAGATTTGTGAGAAACAATGTGTGTATGCGAAAATTGATTCGATTATTAAAAAATAATAATAATAAGAGGGGAGGGAAAGGGAGAGGGGAAGGCAGGGGTGGGAAGGTTAGGTTTTAGCAGAAGACATTTATGTTATAAAATATTTTTCGAATTTCTAATGGGGGGGATGATTATAATAATAAAAAGAAAGAAAATTTTTTTTTTTCCGTCACGCACGTTTTAAAATTATCATCATAAAAAGAACCCGACTACCTATTTATATAACAGGTGTAAAACTATTCTTTTTACGGGTAAGTTTTTTTTAAAAATTTTACCGGAATTTAAATTTATGCGAAGATTCCCCGTTGAAAGACCGTGAAATTGATCTATTACGTAATTTTCCATTTAGGTTACCTCCCATTCTTTTGTTTTTGAAAAAAAAAAAAACGGATGAGTGAGATTTTAATTTGAAAAGTTAGAGCCCAAAGGGAAAACATTCAACTTCCTCCTTCTCCTCCCCACCCACTACCACTACTACTTGGCGCCATTAACATTGTCAAGACAAGTTAAAAATTAAGAAAAGTTTTTTATTTTTTCCTTATTTTATAACATAAATTTTAATACGTTTCGTTGATTTTTAATTTTTAAGGTATACTACTACATCAATCGGAAAATGAATTAGACGAATGTACATCGAGTCAAAATGGCGACGACGATCAAGAACAAAACGATTTAAGAAGCGACATAAGCGATTTACACGATGATTTTAAATCATCATCATCGCCGTCGGGTAGCGGAAGTAAGAAAAAAAAACTCGCGACCGGTGGTCCCACGTCATCGAATAACGATTCTAAAACTACTGGTGGCGGTGGTGGTGGTGGGGGTAAACCAAGAAGAGCAAGAACGGCATTCACATACGAACAATTAGTTGCATTAGAGAATAAATTTAAAACGACAAGATATTTATCCGTTTGCGAAAGGTTAAATCTCGCATTGAGTCTCAGTTTAACGGAAACCCAAGTGAAAATATGGTTTCAAAATAGGAGAACAAAATGGAAGAAACAAAATCCTGGAATGGATGTTAACTCACCGACTATTCCTCCTCCTCCAAACGGTCCTTCTGGTCATTTCGGACCACCTTTCTCCCATCATCATTCTCATACGGCTGCCATGCTTTACGCTGCCGCATCACATCACATTCCATATCCGTATCCGGTATTGAGTTCTGCTACCACGAATCCATATTTTCATCATTTCAATCATTCTCATTCTCACAGCAGTTCATGAGATTCTTAATATCCTCATTAATTGATTGATTGATTGATTGATCGTTTTTATCATCACTTCCTTTTATCTCTTCCGGTTATTCTCTTTTACATATCACATCCTTTCAACCTATTTGTACATAAAAAACATTTTTATTATCTTTTATTAATAATTATTTAAACAAAAAAAAAAAATGGCGAGAGTGTTTTGTTTTCAGTGCAATTTACAAAAAAAAAAAAATTTCTATTACTCAGTAATTTATTTATTTATTTAGTAAAATAATAACTAATGTTATTATCATTATTATTATTAATTTCTTTTTCTTTAATCCGTCTTATACCGTTTATAAAAATAAATGACGTGACGTCAGTCAAAGAAAATTTTTTTTTTCAAATTGATGATGATAATAATAAAAAAACGTAATCGAATGAAGAACTGTCGTCGGTCGTCGGTCGATGGGTTTGTCTGTCGGTATTATTATTATTATTAATATAATCGGTTTTTCGAAAAGGAAGAAAGGAAGGAAGGAAGGAAGGAATGAAAAAGATGTGCGAAAACAATCAAATAGAAGGATTAACGAACAACAAAAGAGGTTCAATAAATGAAAATGTGATTTCGATTTCTCCCTTTAAATCTATTTCACGGTTCAACCCCCTGCTTTCACACACGGGTGCCCTCCGAGTGGCCCCGAATCGAGTTAAATTTACGACAATAACTGATATGGCTCGCCTTCGATTATCCAAACGAATACCCAATTTTAAATTTCTCCTACCACGTTTTCTTTCTTTCCATCTATTTTTTTTTTTCTTATTACGTATTTTAGGCGCGACTTATTTATCATTATTAACGATGAAAATCCCTTCTTTTTTTTAAACGCGTACACACGTGTGCGCCTAAAAAAAAAAAAATTTTTTTTTTTTCTTCCACGTTTTAATTATCGACGTGTCACAAAATTTCATCTTATTCTTATTCTCCTACGATATTGTATCTAAACAAGTTTTTAAATAAATAAGGGATATTTAAATCTGTCAACTCTCTTAATTCTGTCACGAATTTTTTTTTTAAAAACATTTTATTAACTTCTGCCACGTTTTTTTTTTTTTTTAAAACATTTTCTAGTTAATGTGACCAGGATGTGTTGTGATACAATCACTCTCTCTCTCTCTCTCTCTCTCACTGTGTTTTTTAATTGTTTTCCTATTTTGTTTTTATTTATGTTTTTGGTCACATGACCCTTAACCCCCTCCCCTCCCCTTGTAAACTCTTGTAATTTAACTCATCCATTTATTTATTCATTTATTTATTTTAAACAATTGATTTATGTTTAAAATTATTTGTTTTTAACGTTATTTGACAATTAGTTTTCTTACGTCTTTCAACGTTAATTAATAATGATAATAATAATAGTAATAATAATAATAATAATAAAACGGCGACGGGGTTTTGGATGAATTTAAAAAAAAAAAAACTCATTTTAGTCGTGAATTATCATGTTTTTTTTTTTTGCTTTTTTTTTGGTCTACTGACACGTTTTTCTTCCAAAAATTTAAAATTATAAAGGGGAGAAGGGCACGTGGTAGAAGAAAGAGAAAAGAGAAGAAAAAGAAAGAAAGAAAGAAAATTTTTTGTGTTTTTTTTTTCTCTTTACATATATGTATCCAATTCAACAAGAGGGAATGAACCGTGGAAGAAGAAACGTTTCCTTTTTCTTTTTATCGTGGATTTAAACGTTGAGAGAGAGAGAGAAACCAAAAACAAGGAAATAATAATCTTATTTATATATATAAATAAAATTTTTTTTTTTTTGAAATTTTCCAGTTTTAAATCTTTTGTCGATATATTTTCCAGCAAAAGTAAGGGAAGAAGGAAGGAAAAATGGAGGGGAACGTGGGGGGATTGTGGGGGAGAAAATTGTTTTTTTTTTTTTCTTTAATGGAAAAATATTATTTTTTATTATTTAAAATTCAAACAAAATTTTAATCCCAATTATGGAAAACTGAATAAACTACTCAAGGGTTTTTTGTTTTTCGGTTATATAAAATATATATATAAAAAAGGAAAGAGAGAGAGAAAAAAAATTAAAAAGATCATTATTTACTATTTAAAATAAATGTAAAATGTTATTCATTTAACGTTAAAAAAAATTTTTAATATTGTTGAAACGTACGTTGAAAAGGGTTTCACCGCGAAACAATTACAACGAAATTGGTTTTTTTATAAAATGTCAATTAAAAATAATTCACGCTCGCTTGTTTGCAATAATTAGAATGATCTCCATTAATTTTCTGTTAATTATAAAATGAGTTAATTCCATCATAATAAATTTTATATAAAATTTTTCCGTTCGTGGAGTTAATTTAAAATTTTTCCTATTATTGTCTTCGTTTCATCCGCTCCCCAGCCGCCCCCCACCGCCTTTCGTAAAAAAAAAAAAAGAAAGAAAAGTTTCTTTATCGATATCGAACAAAACTTTAAACCGAAATAAACTCTCTCTCTCTCTCACTCGATTTTGGAATGTTCGAAAATAAATGACAAAAGCAAATAAGAAAAAGGTCAAAGGTCGAAATTAAAAACGGGGAAAAAAAAATTTTAATTGAAGATTATTAAGAAGAAGATTGGGAGGATGAGAAGGGCGAAAAAGGCTAACGAGATAGGTTAAAATGACAAATGGGTCCCGAAGGAAATGGAGAAGAAGGACAGGACATGGTCGATGACGGTATTATGGTCTCACATGTGTTTCATTATTATTATTATTATTAGGGGGTGAAAGAAAAAAACCCCATTGGAAAAGGGAAGAAATTCATTAATTATGTAATAATAATAATAATAATAATAATTTCAATCGTTTGTTATCGAATACGCACGCACGCACACGCACAGTCGCGGGTATTAATTACACCTGTTTGTTTAAATAGGCCAAATTCGAAACGCACCGAAAAAAATTATTATTATTATTATCATTATTATTAACAAAATGGCGACGATTGTTTATAATGAAAAAACTAGCACAGATGTATGTATTAATTTTGTTGTTTTATTTTGTAATAATTCCCAGAGTGGATCATTTGATGTCGTTTCATGGATTAATAAAACATCTTCTCAACCTTTTTTTTTTTTCATCCCTTATTCTCATTCCTCCCCTCCCTTATTCCTCCCTCCTCTCCTCTCTCGCCTTCCGTTGCGGACGTTTTAACATTGTCGTTCGTTTCTCTCCCTTCATCATCAACTAGATCAAATCTAATCTAAAGGGACTTTGAAATTGAATGAAGGGGGATGATGATAAAATTATCATTGTTTTTCGCGGGGAGGGGAAAAGGGGAGGGGGAAGGAGAATGTTTTTTCTCTTTCTGCTACCACGTTTCCTTACGATTTTTTTTTTTAAATAAATAAATCCTGCCAAAACGATCCTGACCTCATTATGATTATATAATTTTTTTTGAATTCGAAAACAAACGAAAGAAAATCTCTAAGATGGAAAAGAGAGAGAGAGAGGGGAAGAGGAAGAGTGGAAGAGAGAGAGAGAGAGAAAGAAAAAGAAAGAGCCTGACTGAATCGAATTAAAATTGATAGGTTGAAAGTAAAGATTAGAAAGCACTTAAGGACAAAAGGGATTCTGGTGATAGGCGACATTAGACACCTGTTTCTGGAACTTTGATTCACACATCTATTATTGATCGGAAATCCTATTACAGTAAGAATTTACATGGTGTGCTATCTCTCTCTCTCTCTCTCTCTCTCTCTCTCTCTTTTTCTCTCTCTCTTATTCTCTCTCTTTCTATCATAATACCTTTCCTCAACTTCTTATTTCTTATTATATTTATTTACGGTTTTTATTGTCGTTTTTTTTTTTTAAATTTATTTCCTGTTTGTATAACGTTTTTCTATTTACACGATGCAAAAAAAAATGACGGAAAAGTCATCGAAAGAGTTTCTCTCTCTCTCTCTCTCTCTCTCTCTACCACCTACCCACGACTGAAGAAAATGATAATAATAATAACCGATAATTTTTTTTTTTTATGGAAAATCTTTTGCATTATTACTAAAAGTTTATTTTTTATTTTTTCTTGTTTTCCTTCCTCTCTCTCTCCCTCCCTCTCTCTCTCTCTCTCTCTCTCTCTTATTTCCTTTCTAGTTTTTTTTTTCTTCTTCCACGTTTTTTTCTTTTCTTTTCAATGAAACTTTTACATGAAGTTAAAGTTAAAAAAAAGTTTTTTTTATAAAAGGTGCAAAGTTGCGAAGCCAATTAAACCGAACCGCATTGGTGAGTTTCGCGTTTTTTTTGTGTGTAATTTTCCCCTCCCTCTTTTCTCCCCTTTTCCTCCCCTTCCTCCTCCTCATTCCCTTCCCACTTAATTTTAATTCCACGTTAAATACTTTCATTCTCCCGACACTTTTTTTAAAAATTTAAAAAAAATATTTACCTATTTAATTATAAAAATCCGGATCCTGTCGTTATCCTGTAGTTTCCCGTCGATTCCCGTCGATCCTGAAAAATCATTTTATAAAATAATTTTGTGTGTGCGTTTGGTGTTATAAATCCGCCATTTTTTTTTTTTTTGGACTAAAATAAATATGAATTAAATAAAAAAAACAATTTTTTTTATTACCGGAAGTTCAAAATTTATATTTACCTAATATTATCAGAATCCCGGAAATGTAATAACGGGATAATTTCCGTTCGAACAACAAAACGGGGAAAACAATAGGATGAAATATATAAAAGTAAAAAATTTTTATTGAGAAACGATATCGTGGCAATAGTGAAAATAACGTGCACCCTGAAAAAAAAAAAATAAATAATATTTAATTTATCATCATTATCATCATTGGAAAAAGCATTCGGATTTAAATTAAATGATATTTTTCCACGCATTCTCCTCTGGGATGAATATTTTCAACAGGAAATACAAATGATAATAATAATGATAATAAAAACCAGTAAAAAAAAATTAAAGAGTCTTTAAATAACAACAGGAAAAAAAGGAAAAATGGGAAAAAGGTTTGCAAATCTCGATGGGGAA